CCAGGACTAAATTGATGAACATAGTTTGTCACGACAGAATAGATATGCTGGAGCCTAATAAGTCAGGCAATGAAGGTTTCGTGTTTCTGAGCAGAAGTTGGCAATGGGAATCTGCGAATATGCCAGGCTGCCAGATCTTAATTCACATACGCTCATCTATTTTATGTGCTTGGTCTTCACCAAAATCAAATAATGTTCAAGCGAAACCTCTTAAAGATGTTCCTATTGTCAAAAGAGGACCTCTCAAGGTTGTTAAAAACAGATTCGATGAGAAGCATCTAGTGAGTAGAATTTGAAAAGGGTCAACAGCTTTTTCACGACCTCAATTTTTATCACTCAAATTTACCATCGCTGTAATCAGTGGGGATCCGTAATTGTTAAATCCTTGCAAGGACAGATATAACTGTGATGTTGTTCAATTAGTGCCAACTTTTATTACAGAAATAATACAGAATTATTACCCCCCCCCCCCCCAAAAAAAAAAAAAAAAAAACTCCCAACAAATATCAATATTAGAAAAATCTAAATATCTTGTTGGCATTGGCAAGAGACAAAACAAAAATATTCATGGCTTGATGAATATACTTTGCTATATTGGTTCTGAAATAAAAGCAATCAAATAATGAACAAAACAAAAATCCAAAGTAAAAATAATACCTGGTTTCATTATCGAAAATGTACATTTGCATCCATCAAAAATATATCATATTTACACTAGAGTAAAATCAGTTATTACTACTTTATAATGGCGGCAATTACTGGCTTATAGCAGATATAGTGGGCATAGTAAATTTAAGGGTAATGTAAATAATGCATATGGTCTTGTACACGAAAAAGACGCAGTTTATTATCTTAAAGAAACGCAGAAAATCTGTAATCTGATGGAGAAGGGGTTAGTTTTTCAAATAAGGGTTAGTTCGCACCTAGTAATGACAGAATTGTTTTCACGTTCTTGTTGTGAGGAGAAAATAATTGTAAGTGTCCAAAACCCATTGCAAACAAACCAAAACTACAGATTGTATAAATTCATTTAACATTTGACGTTTTACATTTAACACTTGCTTTAGAGGTATTTTGACTTTATCATTACCGCAAGTATTCTTACTCCGGGTTATTGTAACGCAAGTATTACCACACAAGAAAACCCTGTTATGGTATCTACTGATCCATGGGTAAAGGGACTTCTAGTTGCGAATGTCACGATTAGTTAAATGAAGAGTCGATCTTTCTTTCAACCCCATCCCACTTCTGTTGTATCTATGACAGATTAGGTATTTGAAAAAAAAAACAAAAAAAAAACCCGACGGGATAGAGTTTTATTATACTATTTTGCCTATACCGTTTTTTTAGGACTTCGAATTTTGTCTAATGGTTTGGATTGTTCGTACTTGGTTTTATTTTATTATCTCACACTGTTTCGTGTCCCTTATCTATCAAATAATTCACTGCTATCAGTTATGACCAGTTGAAACAAGCGGTTGCCCTGTAAAATACTCCTATATTTTCACAGAAATGTATGGGGAAGAGGTAAAATCAATAGCGCTCACTCAATCTTTTGATCCTTAACGTGAAATAGATAACCGAGACGATGTATTTTATCGTACCGACTTTAGTAATGATGATCGAGACTAAGCCCGAAATTCAATCTAACAGAGTGGATCAATTTGACTGAAATTTTCAGCAAATTCCCTTTACATAACCTAGTTTTTAACTATTGTAGTAAGATCTTCCGGCTTTTTATCTAATCTCCCATAATGTATCTTAAAGTTTCATCAGAATGGGATAACAAGTGTAGCCACTCTGGAGGGCCTAAAAATTCATACATATTTCACATTTTGCGTAAAAAGAAGGGGCTATAGCTCTAGAATGTGGGGTTTGATGCGTACCAAAGTCGAACTCATCCAAGAATTTTTTATCCTTAAAGATACATTATGGGAGATAAGATAAAGAGCTAGCTGTTCTCTCTATAAATATTAAAAACAAGATCATGTAAAGGCAATATGCTGAAAATTTCAGTCAAATTGATCCACTACGAACCGAGAATTAAGCGATTGAAATTTCGGCCTAGCCTCGATCATCATTACTAAAGTCTGTACGATAAAAAACATAGTCTCGATCATTAATTTCAAGATTAAATTATGAATGGAAGTCGAGCAGCAAATGGGATCATAATCCAGTAAATATCGCAGGCTAGCGATGTTATCGAGAGTTGATTATGGTCAAATTAATAAGTTAGATGCGCACCAAAACTGAACCCATCCAAGAGCTAGTGATACTGGTTTTAAGTTCATCTATTTTCGTAAGGGGGATCGGTCATTTGATTGAAAGTTTCGGTCCGATTTTTAAGATATTCGGACTCAACCATAATTATGGTGTAACGGTGATATATTTGAGCGGTTTTTTTTAAAAAAAAAGATAAAAATGGGGATATTTCGTACAATCAAGGGTCCTTTTCCAGAAAGTTAAGGCCCAATACGTGCCAATATAGAAATGACCCAGACCTTTTATTTGGGGTATATCAAAATTGGAACCTCTGGATGGCGCACAGACAGGGTATTACATGCTTTCAAGAGGCTATTTTGTCGGGCAGTTTATGTCGAGATCGTTCGGTTATAAACATACATTGTCCGTTTTATCAAAGTCGTATAAAAATTATGTTTCCAAGGAGTGTGTCCACAGCCTTGGTATTATTATGCATATATTTGTAAAGTTGAGCTTCGCAGGAAACCCAAAGAATTACTAGTCCCAAACTGATCCCTGGCTAGGAACGTAGTGCGAGAATAACAAGCAGTATATTCAATGAATAGCCATCGGACGTGGAATTTTTAACACATCTATGGCTATTAAAACCGTAAAAAATCTATTGTTAACGGGATTAAATGGGGCTAGACTGTTGAAACATGACGTAGGTGTTTATGAGCTGAATACCCTGATGTAGTAGGTTGAGGTAAGAAATTTTATTGGTTGCTGCTCTGCGACACAAAATTTTTGATTCTAATCAAGCGAGTGTGGTGACACTTCGCGTATAACCTTATAATCCAAGTCCTATAACAATACTTTTCTGCTATAGGGGAAGTAGAAGATGAGTAATTTGATTGTCGAGACTAAAGAGTTCGATCACTTGTGATTCTAGATGAGTGATAGTGGTGACATTAGGTGTACAGTTTGGGTACAGCAATACCTTGATTAAGTTCGACGATAAACATGCCCAGGCTACGTAGAGACTTCATTCTGATTTGTTCTGACTTTGAAACACAATACCCCCCCCCCCTTCAAATAGACGTATGTGTCGATAAGGTAAATGTGCCCAGGGTGTTCGATGGTGAGAAATATCCACAAGGACTAAACGGAGATACGCAATTGCACTGGTTGAGACTTTGGATAACTATTAACTTTGATTCTACTTGGTCGAGAGTGGCTATACATAGAGTATGCTTTCATTACATCAATACTTAGTTGTATAGTTTCGCTACATCAAAGCCTGGACTTAATTCGATCATGAACATTTTCTGCTAAGACTATATAGATAAGTAGTTTGATTGCTCAATGCTTTATTTAAAAGATAAATATGTGCAATTAATTGATTACCAATTCATTTGTTTCATAAAAATATGTCAAATGTCTTTACGTCTCCCGAAATAGGTAGGTGGAGTTCACATTTTCAACCCAAAAGTTCTAACTAGTCTGCTAGTCTTAGACCTCTTGATACTTTTGCTACACGTAAACCTCGCTCTGTTATTCCTTAATGATGGCGTTTGTCCTTACAAGTTACACGGGATGACCGTTCCATATTGTGATGCCGTTGTGGGTGCTGTTTGGCACAACGGATTAGCTAAACGCACAGAATGTTGATAACATGTCCGCGCACTTTCGATTACTTTATTTTTCCCCGCATTTCGAAGAAAGCATGGGGACTATTAAAACGGACCTGCCTACCTGCCCGTCACACCTTTTGGGATACAATAACTTTCCTTCTAATTGAGCTAGAACCTGGTGTATGTGTTTATTAGTAATTCATGGGTCAGAGCGATGAAACTCTGAGTATAGATTCATTATATCAATACATTGACCAAGTTAGATGATGAGAATTGTCTGCTTAGACTAAGTAGCGATAAGCAACATGATTGGTCAAGACTTTGGATCATAAAAAATCTCGCTTTTAATTGCGATATAGATGTTCTTTCGGCGATTGTTTTGACTTGAGTTCAATGGTTAATATTTCCTGCTAAAGATAATCAATTTCATTGGTCGATGCTATGGGACAATATACCTTTAATTCTGACTAACGGAGAGTGATGAAACTTAGTGTATAGTTTCACTACCAGGTATTTCGAAACCTGACTAAGTTTGATCGTGAACATTTTATGCTTAGAGAAGCACAGATAATCAGTTTGATTTGAAAAGGAAAAATGTGCAATTAATTGATATGTGTCATCTGTTTATTTTTAAGATTTCGGCAGAGGACATCAGCCTCACTGTTGGCTTGTTCAAACGAAGTTAAACACTGGTATTTAGCCCGTACATGAACAATCATCCAATAGTGCTGAGGGAAACTCAAGTAATATGTCAGTACAAAATATACATATTGTTTTATTTGTGTATTCATTAAAAAAAATTAAATTATCTAATTACTATACACATCTATGAAAACCTTATCATATTTGTAATTTTATCCTTATAAATTTGATATAGAAGTGGATGACTACAGTTGTGTATCCTAAGTACCAGTGCGTATATACTGTTTTCTAAATGTATTTACATGAATAACCATAGTGATGAGTAAAATAGATAGACCCACGACTAAGCCTACAATATTAATGGGGCTCACTTAAAACACATTAATAAATGGAAAAAAAACGTTCATAGGCCGAGACTAATGAAACCCTAGCGTCAAATTTATGTTCCCTGGCCATATTAGATATTTATGGCTAATGCATTGTTATGAATTTGACCCGGATCAAGTCAAGGAGTTAGGTTGGGTTTGAGATTAACAATTGGGTTTGAGATTAACAATTAAATAAAGAGCGTCTCTCGTCGGAATCATATCATTCTCCACTGATTATGTACTTATATTTCAATAGAATAAACTAACTGACTGGAAACTCACTTGCAATGGTCTGTAACAAAACGGGTGTAACAAAGGTTGCAGAACACCTTTCACATATACATAAAAGAAAACCCAGCATTAATACCGAAAAGAGTAAGAGTAAAAATGATAAAAACGAACTTGTCGGCCATCTTTGCAACTTCTGGCCAGTGATTGCAAACTGATTCATTATTTATACCACATATGTCACAGCAAGATGGTTTCACTGGCATAGTCATAATCGACACGACAGAACTTCTACGGAGGGATGCAGGAAACACCTTATCCATTGACCTTTGTTCAGATTTTGCGTTTTTATACTTTCGAATTATGAGAATCTTTAAAAATCGTGGTATGGTAGCACTTGAACTCCTGCTGTGAATGAAGAGGGTAATCACATTTCCTATGACTGCTAAAAAACTCATTCCGATTAATAACGTCACATAAATCACTGAAAGAGAATAATGTATTGTTTTAATCGGCACTGAACATCATCACATTTGGTCGATAAATGATGAAATCAACAATGTCTGTAATCAGAAATATCGTGCGTAGAAAATATGAGGGTTTAGTATCTATTGCCACATATCCCTGGTCGAGTTGTATTCACCATAATCACAATCAGTAACGAGGGTGTTGCTGAAACGGGACGGGCGACGGAATGATTATCAGATGGCAGTACATTCAGACACGTTTTACAAAGATATTTACAATATACCTATGGCCATCTTGTATCTTATATAATTCCATAGCATATTATATAAGTAGGCCTATGTATTAACAAAATAATGATTGCAGACTGGACGTCTTAATATGGCGAATTTAGATACAGCCGTCTTGTGATTCATAAGTAGTTGTTTGCGTTATCTAGTATAATATGCGGCATCAAATTTCCATAAACTATGCCTATTTTTCATCTTATGATCACGAATTAATATTTACCGATAAATGTTATAAATATGGAACCTGTAATACAACAGCAATAGCATTTGGGGGGGGGGGGGTGAAACCCGTTCCACTTCTTAGCAACACCCCCAATACCGATTACATATGTCCATCGGGTTGAAGATGAGGTCCAGACTAAAAAAAAATGATGCCTGTATTAGGACTTGTGCATAAGTAAATTTATGATCGGTTCGACCCGACCGTCTTTTAATGTTGTATTTAGGTGGGGTTGGGTGGGATAGAATTAAAGATACATTATGGGAGATAAGATAAAGAGATGGCAGTTCTCGCTATAATAGTTAAAAACTAGATAGTGTAAAGGTAATTTGCTGAAAATTTCAGTCAAATTGATCCACTATGAGCCGAAAAAGAAACCGGTGAAATTTTTGCATAGTCTCGGTTATCATTACTAAAAGCATTAATATAAACAGCATAGTCTCGATTATCCACTTTTTCTGATTTAATTATCTTTGGCCGTTAGCGGCATATAGGAATCTAATCCAGCCTACATCGAAGGCTAGCCTTGACATCGAGAGTTTATTATGGTCTGGATAAGTTAATTAATGTCTAATTGATAATTTAGATAACATTTCAGGCCTAAAGAAAGACTTGTAATAAGCAGATTTTGCTCTTGCATAATGCATGTTTAACCGAACTGATACATTTTTAAAAAAAATAAAACACTGAGCTGTTATTGATACATCACTGATCAGTGACTTAAATGCTTAAACGAATTACCCAATACTTCCAAATACCACCTTATTTGAATAACTAACATAATACTGCAATTATATATTTAAAAAGTCTATTAATTTACAGAATTAGCAAAATGTTAAGGATAATCTGCAAAAATCTATTTATAGTATCTGTACCCAGTAGTTGAAGCGTCTGAGTCAAGCCAAATAATGACCAAATATCCCCAATACTGAAAATTCAACCACCTACTACATTATTATTATCCAAAACTGACAGAATTGTGCGATTTCTTCAATATCAATGATTGCATTCCTATATTAAGTGCAAAGATTTGAAATATCTATAAATAATTTATTTCCACAAATAATTCTGCTGGTATTCAAATAAGTGTACCGCTTTCTAAGAGTCTCTGCGTACGCGATTAATTTAAACACTATTAATTCGGTGTTATCCTCGGCACTATCAAGGTCGTTTCCTCCTAAATGAAGTATCAGATGACTTGGTTTTTCGGAACGAACTTTCAACTCGAATTTATGTACGTGTCTAGATTTGAGAATAGAACCGCCAGAAACACCAAATAAACATAACTTGAGAAACAGCTTTTCTTTAAGTTTAAATTGGTCCATTGTGTGTTCTTTTGAATAAAGCTGTCCAATCTTGCGATGTGCGAAGCTCCAAGAATAAGAGTTTTTTCTTGCATTTCAAGATGGCGGTCTAAGTAGGTCACTGACAGCGTGGGTACCATAGTAGAACTTGGAACTAAGTCATTTACTGGAGCTTCTATACTAAATTTAAAACTTACTCAGGTAAACCACCGGGTTTCCCAAATTAACGATCCAAGACTTTCTCCAAGAATTTTAAACAAATATCCAAATATGCGTAAATTATGAGGTGATCGGTAACACAATATAAAGCTGGCACATCCAAAGCGACTTACTAATGACTAATGAGCTTAGATATACCAGCGAGGGTCGACTAAAGCTTAAGCCCCGCCCACATGTGATCACCGGTGATCACGTGTTTACTTATCATTGTTTTAACTATTGAGTTATACACTTGCCGATAAAATGTTTTATGTACATAAATGATTTTTATACTCATTTTGAGATAATATTGGCTCATCATTTTAAAGAAATGGAATAATTTCTGATAGTATGGGTTAAACATTATGCAAGAGCTAAATCTACCTATTGCAGGTCTTTCTTTAGGCCTGAAATGTTTTCTAAATTATTTATTAGACATTAATTAACTTATGTACACCGTATTAAAAAGATTAGAACGGTTCAGCCATATTTTGATTTAATTGAGAAATGGAGGAGCGAGATTTAGCTTCGAACAACCAGTACCGTGATTGCAATTTGTGTACACGTCTTTTCACACCTTCAAAGGCTAATATCTTAATTTTATATAATTGAAATATGTTAGTTTTTCACAATAAATCACGAGACCCGATGTGTAAAGTGGTAGTCTTGATACATGCATTAATTTATAAACTCACCAAAATACGAGATGCTGTCTGATGTCTTTGGTAGATAATCATCAACGACACCCAGGAAAACTGTTAAGGATAACAACACTGTTATTGCAACTGTTAACTTTTCTCCACTCTCCGAGGGTACAAGAAAGCTAACTCCACACAGAAACGAGATTGCTGCAATAGGCCCAACTACATTTAAAAGATAAAACGTTGACTTCCGTTTCAGTTCTAGGGTAAAGTCTGACTCGGTCAGTTTGTTATTGGGATTTCCAAAAATGGAAAATTTCGATTTGGTAACACTGCTTCCCACGATATCAAACTGACCGTTAGGGGCTAAAAGATGGTCTGTGACAACTTCTGTTTTATTAATTATAATCTCATTATCAGCAGTCATCCAGGGCATAACAGTTACTGAGCATGTCTGATAATCTACCGGAAACATAGTTACATCAACAGTACAACTCGTAGTGAAAGTAAAGCCTGGTTCCCAGTCAATGTTACCACTATGGTTAACATACACTCGTAGATTGTCGCCTCCAAAAATTGCATCCTCATCAATTCTGTAGAGAATAACAAATATATACTTATTACGTAAGAGTAAACAAGGTTTTAACAACAAAATGGTGCTAATAGGATTCTGTCTTACATCCTGTCGAATGATTTTAATTCCTAATTCGGATATAATTCAAACTGCAAGGTCCTAATAACAAGAATCCTAAATCTGCATGGGTACAATGAAATCAAACCCTGCAAATTAAAACAATCAACAAAAACAACGAATATACATACGAATTAGTAGCTGTCAAATCAGGAATCCATATATCTTTTTGGAGAACATTCATTTCTATAATACCACCATAGTTGTCTGGATTCCACGTCAATTTTTCATCTACCCATGTCTTCAAACAGAAAATGGGAATAACAAGAGATACGATTAAGGCATTAGGTTCTATAGAATGGTTGATCCTTACCAGTAGAAAGAAACTGACACGCGGACTCTATATATGCATACTCCGAATGGTCACTGCCGTCGTGTTAAATGGAAACTCGAGTTGGACCTTGCCGTTGCGTGCTTACAAAGATTGTGTCTAGTTTCCACGTGTTTCAGATATGTAGAACCAGAAACTGTGATATTGTATCACGTGGAACGATAGGCATGACCTTTTACTGCCGGACTAATAGCACAATTTCAAGTTTCAGCCGAGTCAACTGATTGAAAATTTGTTAGTGACGATAACTCCATTGTGTTTTGGACTTTCCTTTTGCTATTATGTACAATTTGAAGCTAACTTTTGAAACTCGTGAACATTACTTACAATAACAAACCATCCTGTGGTTCTCATAACTTGTTCACGTGAATTCTGAAATAAAACAGAAATAGTCTGTAGTTGTAGGATCATTTACTAAGGTCATCGGTAGACAGGCTGTTGTAAATACTGCTTGAATGGAGCACGGATACAATAAACTATAACAACGTGAAAAGCTCTAATTATTCTTGACTGTATTTTTTTTTCTCACGCCACTCTTTTCGTAACGATTCGCCTTTTCGAAAACTATTTGGCAGAACGGCACTGGCTCTAGCGATGTAATCGTCTGAAATGCCCCTTTACTTTGTACAGACGTACACAGGGGCCGACACTCATCCGTTTAGCCAGTAAAATTTACAGGGAGTTCAAAAGCTTCGACAATGTGCCGACAGACGCGTTCTTGAGCGTACATGTCATGTATAGAGTTCCCATCACAGCAAACAAGAGAAGTCCCTGAAGAAAATCAAGACCCACACCTATCTCACCCCTCAGCAAGAAGAAGGAATGGTATTGATGCTAGACCACGTCAAGTAGTAACACATAGTAGCGACAATTTTCAACAGGCTCAAAGTTCTGGAATACGCTTCCCACCCAAGCCAGTCCGAGACACTCCATGAACTGTTAAACCAGATTGTAAACAGTTGCTACTACGTTCACTTCATTCGCGCATAGTTTGAGCCCAATCTGGTTAAAATACAGATCTATATTTCGTTTCGTTTTTATACTTTCGAGGGCCTACACTACATGAAGATCTGACCGGTTGTAGCGATAGGTCGCGTCAGAGGTCATACGACCAACTTTTGACCTATGATGTCAGACATTTGATTAACCAATCAGCATTGATGTTACTAGTGGATTACCCACAGTTCCGTGCAAAACACGTCTAAAGCTCGCCGTTACAGGCCATTTCATTGGCCAATACCTCACACCATCCAGAACACGTCAATGATAACAACTCTTCCAGATCCTAGCGTAATAAAGACAAGTAAAACGAAATTTTGAACTATAAAAAACGAAACGAAGTAGGATCTGTGTTTTAATCAGATTGGTTTGGGCCCGTATAGAGGCCATAAACATATTAGCCTTCTGTGCATGTTTCTAACGTTTAGTTATTAACTTCGATTATCATATACATGGACTTGTTATGTGTAGATTTAGATATTTCGATATGCACCATATTATAGTGAATACCCGTTAGGGGCCCAATAGTATCAATATTCATTGCGGTGGAGTTGTGTAACCATGAATTTCTTACCAGTTCAATTAAACGACTTAAAAACAGTTGAATGTTAATTTCTGTTTGTTCTGATTGATTTAATTTCGGACGAACCATGGTTGAGTAATTTGACGTTTTGAACAGATCTTCTTTTAATCTGTACACATCATCAAATGTATAACACGAAATAGCTGAAATATAATACGTTATTATCAGATAACAATAATTGTTAATATAGATGTAATCATTCTTTGTCAATTTTGGGCGATTGTGTCATAACATAACAGTTCCTCCCTATTCTTAAGTTAACATTTTATCAAGAACACCCAAGAAAAGTTTAGTTAATTCACCCAAACCATGTACATGATAAACGTCAAACCAAGTCTTAAATAGCTTGGAATATTCTTAATGCCAATCCATTCTGGATAAAAAGGAAAAAACGTCACAAATTGCAAACTGGAAGATAACATTAGTCTTTCATTTATTCTTCCAGTTCTGGCTTCGTATTTGTCAAGGCCACAGAGAAAATGGCCTCAGACAATTATTACTATTATGATTAAAGCGACACTGAAATTGTATTCCAATATATTATGCTATTACGTCTATAACATATATCAATTTCTAAATGTCGCTCAAAGATAAAATTGGTTATATGTATTTACTAGAACCGATCGTAACAATAGCCCGAGGACTACTTTACGACTCGTCGTAACAATAGCCACTGCTTAATGTTAAATTTGTCCCTTTTCCCAGTGACTGAAGTTAACTTTTGTGCGAAGAGTTCCACATTTAGTTAGCGTGCCAGGTACAGTTCCAATAACGGTTATTGTATAGTACGGTACACGCAGCTATATAATATGGATTGTAATTGTTATCGTCGTTAAAAATATCAAATAGTTCACTATTTTAGATATCATTAACACTGCTATTTATGTTACGTATTGAGCCGAAGGCTGCTTTCGTAATCAATATCAGCTTAAGCTATTTTAATTGGCAATTAAGTTGAAACTAGTGCTATAGTTTTAAATTATTTATGGTTGGGGTTAGTTGTGTAGCTAATTAAACTGTTTATGTTATTATAAGTGTGTAGATAATTATAATTATTTTATATAGAGATGCAGCAGTTATGAACCCGCAACGCCTCGACTGTTATCAGGATCTTGAAACAATGAGGTGTACAAGTTAGAATGACTAAAAACGCTCGAATGCATTACAATGAAGATATCGGTTCATCCTTGGCTTTATTCCGGATTGATCGCAGGGTGTGTCTTTAATATTATATTACAATCATAATCCAGGACGTTATGGTCCGATATACGCGAACCTTGGTACTGTAGGATTTTACACTATTTGCGTACAAGGAGCGTTAATTTTGTCGGGCAGTTTCGGTCTGATTTTCACGAAATTCGAACTCAACTGTCATTAGTTGAACACTAATATATTTAAACATTTTTTAAAATTAGATTTTAAAAAAATGGGAGCTCTAGAGGGCCACAAGTTAAAACGTGACTTTTCGTACAATCAGCGAACATAATACAGGATGTCACAGGATATGCGCGAATATCGACAGGAACCAAGGTCTTTGGGATATAAACACATATGTTAAATTTCATCAAAATCGGACCAGAATTGTGACCTCTAGGGCGTCCACAACCTTGATATTACATGCTTTAACATTATTTACGTACAAGGAGCGGTAGTTTCGGTCTTAGTTTCACGAAATTCGAACATAACCATCATATGGTGAAATCGGATAAAAATTGCTGAAAACGCGATTTTTCGTACAATCAGGGGCGTTAATCCATGAAGTTACGACCCAATACATGCCAATATCAAAAGGAACGGAGATCTTTTGGATATAAACCTATATAAACTCGGATAAAAATTATGACCCGTGTGGTGTCCACAAACAAATTGTGGACGAACGTCCGGATGGACAGGGCGAGGACAATATATGTGGACGTATAAAACCTGTGCCCTATAGAGAGGGTCCACAAGCTTAAATCCAGACTATTTGGTACAATCAGGTACCATAATCAAGAAAGTTGTGGTCCGATATGTGCGAATATCGAAAGGAACCGAGATCCTTGGGTTATAAACATACATTTTAAGTTTCATCTAAATCTTATACACATTGTGACCTCTAAGAGTGTCCACAAGCTAAAAACGTGTTTTTTTGTACCACCAGGGGCCATAATCCACGATACATGCTAAAATCGAAATGAACCTAGATCTTTTGGAGATAAACCAATATTTGAAGTTTCGTCAAAATCGGATAAGACTTGTAGATTGTAGCTGGACAGGGGCGACGACAATATACGTCCACATGAAAATATGGGCGTGTAAAAACGGAATGGATGGAGTATTGAACTTGCGAATCCTGTCTATTTGGTATTTGATACATTCTTTACTTATACTTTCAGATGTTCTGCAATACTGGGCCCCAGCACGTAAATGAAATGAAATGAAATTGGGTTTAACGTCCTACTGTTCTGCTCCGAACTGGGCTAATGAAGACGGGCATACGCCATACAGTGTGCTATGAGGGAAATTTTGCCTGGACAGCGGCACTATGGCCTACGTATACCGAATTCCAACTGTCAAGGGATCTTTTACGTGCACGCCAATATATACTCGGGACCTCGGTTTTTCGTCCCATCCGAACGACTACACAGCTGTCCGTGTCAGGCCCTACGTCCTGCATCACTGACAACGGGAAACCACGTCGGGAAATCTGGATAAACTTTCTCGGTCAATGCAGGGATCGAACACCCGACCTCCAGGCTAGCGAGCTAGCGTCTTACCCACTTAACCACCGTGACCCCTCATTCAAAAACAGCCGATTCGATGAGTTACCGGGAACTATTATTAGCGCGCAATGTGAGTGATTCTTCTAAATACGCGAAATTTATGAAGAATCGAGAGTGGGGACGCCATCTTGGATCTTTGTGAAGCGGAAGGATGCATCACTCACACCACAGTGGCCCGCGAGATTTCCCAAAGCGAACGGTAAACCTCTCACTGGGAGCCGAGATTAGAAACGAATGTTATGCAAAAATAAAACACTTAAATCATACTTATTAGTTTAAAACTGGCGTTAATATTTTTTTACGACTAATATCAGCCGTGAGTCAATATTGTTTTACGAACGACCAGTTTGGTCATTTAGGATAGTCAAAGAGCTTTTAAAATAATTTTTGTTCTCTATGCGGCAAATACTGTCCCGATACAATCGAAGTGTTCGTAACGCTCCGAACAGTCACACAAAGGCCCATGCAGCAGCTTTGTCTCAATTGCAGCTTATCCGAAAGGAAAACCTGGATGTTGAGGAAATTGTATAATGATCCTTGAAGAATACTAATCTCTACGGTTTACC